AGTTTAGGGTCAGGTAGGTACCTGTGAGGTTAGTTTTAGGGTTTGTGATCAGGGTTAGGATGTAGAAATTTAATTGAAGTCAATGGAATGTTCCCAGTTTTATAGCTGTGCAAACACGTGTGTCCTGGTTGGACATAAAGACAGTGTATAAGGACAGTGTGTTCAGCTTGTGTTCAGCTTGTGTTATCACTCACAGGGTTAACATCCTTCTTGCCTTTGTGTGAAGACGCCACAACAGCCAAGTACTGAATGACCTTCTTGGTGTTTTCTGTCTTCCCAGCTCCGGACTCGCCCCTGAAAGGGGACAGGAAATGGGTGGACATGAGACCAGAAGTGGAGGAGGGGAGCAGGCTTGCTCATATTAAAGCATGTGTGATTAAAAGTCTTCAGAACTCTGATAAGTCTAGACATTTAGGTGAAAAAGACTCAAGCTTTAACAGGTGTTCATGAGTTCATGTGGTGCCGGGTGTGATGGAGGACCATGGTGGGATTGGACTCACGTGCAGAGGATGGACTGATCCTCCCGGTCTGTGAAGAGACACACAGAGTCAGTCCAAACATGAAGACTGATCTAAGAGGAAACACTCTGAGATTAGCCCCAGTCACTTGTTTCACTCTAAATATAGCAGCTGGATGCGGGGCTCCGGATGGGTTCTGGTCCAGCTGCTCCTTGTATGGATGTTCTGGGTCTGAATGGAAAGTCTGGAGGCGGTCTGAGGTCGGCACGCTCCGAGGCTTCAGTCAGCCCGACGACGGCTCATCCCTCATCCTAGAACCCTCCTCCACTTTGGGTCATTTACAACTGTTAGATGTTCCAAAGAAATTCATTTWTCTGCTGTAAATTCACCAAATATTAAAGTTTATTAAACCTGTCAAAAGAACTGTTGTGGMAAAAACAGCAGCAGAAGGGTCGTCCCTACAGTTGGAATAGAAATAGCTTTTCTTGTCCTGCAGAGGGGAACATCAGGTGTTACAGCAGCATCAGGACAGAGGTTCACACATTGATCTATATTACTGGATTGGACATGGCCTATAGCTGCTATAGCTAGCGGCGCGCCGTCACAGGAGCCATTGCTATGCATTGAGTCATGTCAACAAAACAGTTTCAATGCAGGATGTGCGTCAATCTGTCACAAAAATACTCACAGCACCCTCATTTCTTATCTGATTTCTATAAAATATGGCTTCAATTAAAGCTGAGAAAATTGCCGATGTTGTGAATGTAAAAATATGTATTTRYTCAAGAGATAMATCTATRAGCAGTMTGGGAACTTTTTATTATAGGTTTTTGCTAACATATTTACAGTAGAAGCCCATTTCTGTCACATAAAACTAAGAGTCATGTGTGTCATATAYACAGTATGTAATTCTAATTTTGCATTTGTTTTCTGGCTCTTCATTCACGCTGAAGTGACTAAAGACAAATTCCTCCAGCTGGTCATAAAATAAATGCGGTCGGCCCCTCCACCACTTAGCTTATGAAATATACGGTGGAGGAAAACAAAGTTAGGAAGTTTTTTACTCTGATATAAAATCACAAACTACAGGATATACCAGATGCTGACTGGACAGAACATCAGTCCCAGTAATATCTACACAGTTCAGCCTAGTAGTAGTAAAGGTAATTTTACTGTTGTCAATTAAATGTACCTCTCACAATGTTATCCTAACATAATAAC